ACTTGTCCCTATCTCTGACCCTGAGCCTGCACCCCAGAAGCCCATGCTCAGTCCCAGGTGGAGTGGGCAGGAACAAAACTGCCGTGTGCAGTTGTGAGAGCCCTGCCCTGGAGAAGAACAAGGGCCCAGGAAGAAAAGATTTCCATCTCTAGTTTGTGCAGAAATGTCAGCTCTTTAGTGAACACACCTTCCCTCTGCTTGACTCCACTGGCAGAGCCCTGGCCAAGTCCTGGGCTATAGCCCCACTCGGTGTATCTGTAATGCTTGCATATTTGTAGGGCTCTTGTCCAGGCGACCAGGACCTCTGTCTACGTTGTGACGATCCAGAACATAGACTCTACGGCTCGGTGAGTGTCCCCAGGCACAGTGGCTGGGTTGAAGCAAGCAACCATAGTTGGAGAGGCTTGTGATGTTCCTGGGCTGTTTGTGTGTCTGTTCCAGGGCCCAAGTCCAGTCCTACCTAGATGCCTACTTTGTTTTCTCCAATGGGTCAGCCCTGACACTTAATGAGCTGAATTTGTGAGTGGGGCTGTCTGGGAGGGTGGGCAGGGGAAAGCAGAACAAGAAGTCCCCGGGGGAGGTCAGTGGCCCTGGGTCTAAGCAGGGCTCTGTGGCAGGATGATTCGGAGAGACCAGGATGCGCTGAGGCAGCTGTTGCAACTGGGCCTGGTGGTGGTGGTGAGTGTGGTGGGTCAGAGGTCACAGGTAGGGGAGGGGTGTGAATCCCGCAGTCTTCTCACCCTCCCTCTCCCCCAGAGCTCCCAGGAGATCCAGGAGTCCGATCAGCCCAAACTGCTCACCAGTGTCATCATAGGACTGGTAGTGGCATTGCTGCTGGTCCTTGTGATTTTGATCACTGCCCTCCTGTGTGTGCGGAAGAGGTATGGTCTCCCCTTGTCTCCAGCTCTCTCCTGGCCCAGATACCCAATGTATGTGGGGTGGGTAGAAAGGGTCAGGCATCAGGGACATGAGCAAGACTGCCTGCTCCTTGCCTGCAAAATGGGTTTGGCACTAGGTTCCTCCATGAATTTGGGGCAGAAATGTTGAGCACTTCAAATCGTTGCCATTTCCCCTTCCCAGAACACATCTGGTAGCTTTCCTTGAGTTCTAGTCTAGGTATCACCGTTGGCTGCCTAGGTGGTTCTTCAACAACACATTCCCTTTGCTGATGGTTCTACTCCCTATAAAACACAGCTAACATCATCAGCAGCCAGGATCCTTGTAAAGTCACAGTCGAAGGGCTCCCAGTAGGCACTAGGTGATTATGTTGCAAAAGTGACTTCTTCCCGGTTCAACAGTTATCACCGGAAGCTTCAAGCTATGAAGGCTGGCAAGGAGGCCCGGAAGACACCAATAGAAGCAACGAATTCAACTGCCGCTATCCCCGGGACTAACATGTACAACACTGATCGGTGAGCACAAGTCAAAAGGGAGCAAGATACTTTGCAAGATGGCTGAATGCCACGGTTGCTTGACCAAACTTTTTCCCCAGAGCCAACCCCATGCTGGACCTCCCCACCAAGGATCTGGGATTGGAGTGCCTCTCCTCCAGTGACTTGGACAATGTCAGGTGAACAGCATCTCTCACTACCAGCCTGGTTGTTGGTAGCAGGAGATGAGTGGTGATGCGGATGGGGATGGTGGCAGTCATGGTGATGGTGACAATGGTGACAGTGTTCACGGTGCTGATGGCAAAGCTGGTGATGCTGATGCTGGTGATGGCGGCAGTGATGGCCGTGGTGTAGGTGGTGATACTTAGAACGTTGGGGGTGATGGTGATGGTGGCGGCAAGGTCACAGACTGGGAAGGCTGGGTCAGTTTGCTAACCATCTAAGTTCTACTCCTCCTCCCATAGCCTCAATTCCCTAGACAAAAACGCTGTGGACTTGGACACGGACAGTAAGAAAATCAAGGTAGGATGGGGGATGGGTTGGTACCCGGGGCTTCTGACTTGAGACTTCTTTGAAGGGGTGGAATTTAGGATGAATGAGGCCCACTCCCTGTTCCTCCCTAAGGTGCTCTTTGGTGAACTGCTTCTTGCTTTTGGCTCTCTGTTCTTTTCATCTGTAAATGGTAATCAGAACATGAACTCTGCAAGGCTGACGTGGGGATTAAGTCAGAGCAGGCAGTGTGAAGGTAGGGCGCTTGCTGAGGCTCTGGGTTCAGTCTCCAAAATAAAAACAAACAAAACAACAAACCAATGAAAAAGAAAAGAAAAAGCCATTTTTGGTCTCTATACAAATGCTAGCAGGTGAGGGAGAAATATGGACATGAACAAAGGTAGGGAAGGAGAGAAGGGAAGCTCAATAGATAATTAAATGACAACACCACTCCATGTTATCTAGGTTAGTTGGTTAACTGGTTAGATGTTTAGTTGGTTAGTAGATGAGATCAAGAACTCACAGTTTGGAATCACCTGGGGAATTCTAAAACAACTGACTCGGGTCACATTCAGATCCTGATCCCGATGGCCCATGGTGGGATGGGGTGGGACAGAGTGTCACAGGGCAAGAATACGCTGCCAAAGCTCCCCAGCAGATTCTAGTTTCTTCACTGAGCTTTGTTTTGCAACAGGGTCTTACTGTGTAGCCTAGGCCAACCTCACACTTTTCTTCCTCCCGCTCGAGTGTCTTTAGTGGTGGGAATTCAGGTACATGTTGCCTTGCCTGACTTTTCAGGCAATTTCAATGTCTAGGTAGAGTGGAGAAACACTGGAACTGGTCAGTGACGCCATGCAGGGCTCTCTAGAGGAGCCCCCCTCCTCCCACTGGAGCGGAAGGTCTTTGGGGCCCATTAGCTGCAATTGTTCATTTCTGGGAAAGAAGTGGTGTTTGCATTGTCACACCACCCCTCCCCAAGGGCCCCAACCTACCCGTGCTGCAGACCTTATTCTCCCTGAGGACTCTTGTTTTGTTTTTGTTTTTTTTCGAGACAAGGTCTCTCTAGGTAACCCTGGCTTTTCCTAGAACTCAGTCTGTAGACCAGGCTGGCCTTGAACTAGGAGATCCTCCTGCCTCTGCCTCCTGACTGCTGGGATTAAAGGTGTGTGCCACCACCTCTGGTAGAGGACTAATTTCTTGGATAGATAGGTTCAACTAAAGCTTCTGCTTGTACAGGAGTCCAAATGTATAATGATGAAAAATCTGGCATAAAGACTTCTAGATGGGCTCCCAAGAATGGGGATCTTGGGTAGCAAGCTGGTCAGCCCCGTGTGTGGATGGGGCTGTGTGAAGGTGGTTTGAGAAAAATGCTAGAGAACTCTGTCGGAACTGAGGCAACAAAGTTCAAGGCCCTGAGGAGGGCATTGTGGACTTACCTCCAAGAGTGGAGTTAGGGGTTCCTGATTGACCTGTGGGCTGGGAAAGAGCAGGACTTCTGAGAGAAGAGTCTGGAGAGACGGTGTGACTGGCTGAGGGACAGACAGGTTTTTTTCTAGCAATCCGTGAATGCCATGACCTATAAGGGCCCTGTAAACACTGTGTACAAGGTGTGAGTAGCCGGGAAACCACCCAATCCCCCTTGTCAATCAAGTATCGTGGACACAGATGCTCAGGGAGTGCTGACTGGCTTAAGGCCTGGCTGCCTGCAGGATAAATTAGCTCAGAAGTCAAGACTTCTGGCCTTAGGTGCTGGGTTACATTATCTAGTGCTATGCTGGTTGGTTGCTTTGGGCTCAGGGTCTGTAAGCAGACTGACTAACTCCTCCCAGGCTCTTGCATGCTCTACTGTTTACCAGGGATGGTAACATCCCCAGGCTGGAAAAGCCCTTATAGAATCCAGGGAAAGGAAGAGGGGATTTGAGGCTCTGGCCTTGTGGAGGAAGGGGAGTGGTTGCTGCAGCAGAGTAAGTAGCTCAGGGGCTGGGCCTTCCCATAGGAAGGGATATGTGTGAGGGGGGATGTGGAAGTGGTGGGCTGTGTGACATCACATGGGGAGGGCGAGAGGAAGGACAGGGGACATGTGTGTCATGACAAGGTACAGGCATAATCCTGGGTGACATTTATGAAAAAGGAGATGGCAAATTCAAGCAGAAACTAATATTTTACCATGGACATCTACAACAATGGTTGACCAGTTCCCACTCTGCCTTTTAGCTAGGGCGAGCCTCAGCTTCTATCCCTCTCAGCAGGGCGTCTATGGCTCTGTCAGGGAATTTACCGACCTTGCCCAACACATGGCTTGCTGGGGGGGGGGGGGGGAGAAAAACAGGTGGCAGGAACTGTGACAAAGTTGTTCTTTGGCCTAAGACTGGACAGAGTGCTAGAACACTGTTCTCTTGGGGTTAGGCAAAGGCCAGAGGCCCATCCCGCCTGGCCATGTCTGTTTCTGAAAGACAGAGACCCCAGCAGGAGTGAGGGCGAGAAACTCTAGCCAAGGAGCCATGTGGTGATGAGTGTGAAGGCCCAGGTTGCCCTAGGGTCTGGTGAGAGAACCCCATCTTCACCATTCCCTCCTTGTCTCTCCAGAAGCCACTTCCACACAACTCGCCCAAACAGGAACCAGAGCCCCTGAGCGCAGTGCTCTCGGGAAGGCACGTGGGCACAAGTGGACCGAAGCAGAGGGATCTGTCCTTCACCAACCCTGGCCTGGACACCACAGATCTGTGATGGAGACCTCCATTCTTCAAGTGCAATCTGTACTGCCTACCTTCCCCAAAATATAATATATGGTCTTTCAATCATAGACAAGAGCTGGGGAAAGGTTTTATTACCAATGTATACTGTGACAGTTAGTAGCCAAAAACTGAGGCTAGAGGGAAAGGGACCAGGGCGCTGAGTGGTTACAGGAACTTGTCGGGCTCACAGCATTGTGTGTGTGTGTGTTGTGTGTGGTGTGGTGGTGGGGGATGGGAGATAAGAGGTGAACTGTGGATGTCAAGCGAGCTCTCCACCCTACTCCCAATACCCAAGATCAGCTGTGGGCCAGGCAGCCAGTGGCCTGACACCTTCCATGACTCTCCCTTCTCAGCTGAGCCCCAGGGCTGTCCTAGCCTTTGGCCTCTACGGGAACTGTGCATAGTGACTGGGTAGGAGAGGGAATAGGACTAGGGCACCGGGCTAGGCGGGAAGAGAAGGAGAGGGGGCAGGACTACCAACAGCATGCAAGAGACACCCTGGCCCTGGGGCCAGCACCATGTGGAGACCCCTCCCAACCTCCGGTTCAGAGTCTGCCTTTCTGGTGGCTTCACATTGACCCTGGCACACGTGGACGAACACTTAGCATGCAGTCTTTCCCACTTCTGGGGAATCTCAGGAGCCTGCCTCAGCTCTAGGGTGGAGGGACGGGAGTAGGCACCTGTGCTCTCCCACTGCTACCTGAGGGAGTGGAGCGGAAGGCTGTGAGGGCACCGGGGTGGGGTTGTCAGGGCTGGGTGTGCGGGCTCATGGCCACAAAGGGACTGCGGAAGGGGTTTTCGTCAGTGTTTGGGGAAGGAGGGACGGGAAA